AAAAAAAAAAAATCAAACTAGGGGTGGGAGGTTTTGCTGGAACTTGAAGGACGCCCTTTGAGCGCCCTTCCGATGCCGAAGTGGGGGTGGTGCACCGCGGGATGGCCGGAGGGGCTAGATTGTATTTATATTTTGTATAATGTTATTTGAACGATAATTTAAATAGTTTGCATTTATTTTTGTGTTTGTGTTTAGTTTTGTCGTGAATTTTTTTTTAAAGACAAATTGGGCTCTCCCCGAAACGGGATCCTGGTTTCGCCACTGATAACAATGAATAAGATTATTACTACGATCGGAACGCAGAAGATATATTTTATATGTACTCGACAAAGCTTCAAAAAATGGTCGTATCACATGTAACCAATCGTCGTGTTTAAAAATCTTAGGGCGTGTTTGAATACAAAAATCACTCAAAATAGATCATTTTTGGTAACCATGGTCAATTTTTTTTTTAAAAAAAAAGTGTATGGTTAGTTAGTGAGATTTTGAATTTATGTTAAAATAAAATTTAATATAAAATAATTAAAGTTGAACCGATTTGCTCCCAAGAGAACTGCAAAATACGTCGGGATGTGTTAGAGACGTAAAACCTTTAACGATCAAGTCAGTAAAAGACTATGGAAAATTGTATGTAAAGTGTAAATAATAGATTATAAAGCTTAGAGTGTATAGTGTGATTAACTATATACCTTTCATCATTCTCACCTATTTATATCAAATCATTGGCTTATTTAACAAGTTTTGCCTTACTCGCCTGCCCGAAAGTCTAACCAGACTGCCCGAAAGTCCGGCCGCCGATTATTTTGCTACTCCTAAGCCTGTCCGAGACCCGTTCTTATGCATAGGATAATCTACATCCCTCTTAGATAACCATACATGTGCCCAGTGCCAGCTCTTTGGAGAGGCAACCTAGGCCCATGCCTAGGGCCTCAATTTATTTGGGGCCTCAATTTTTTATTTTTATTTTTATTTTTTTTGTATTATGTATATGTGTTGGGTTTGGCCTATTTACACAAATAAATATGCTAATGGCTAAATATGGAATTGGCTCATTGCACAAATGACGTGGCGAATTGGGAGCTAATGGCAAAATGAGGGAATTTGAGGCCTTAAATATTCCATTTGTTTTCTTATGATGTTCGGTCATAACAAGTTGTGTGCGAATAATAAACATTCTTTGCAGTGATGATTTTTATTTTCTTCTCCTCGTTATCCTCATGACTGCTTGTATATAATTCATTAATGACCTTTATAACCCAGAAATAATTTATCCATTCCAAGGTCTAGAAAAATAATTGTTTTTTTTCAATTATTTATTTATTTAATAGTCTTGTTTAAGTAGGTTTTTTTCTTCTATGATCTATACGCAAATAGCCCTGATTACCACGCAAGTTGAAATCGAAAAATTCGAAAAGGAAAAACTTGTTGGGGTCTCCAAATTTTTAGAGACGGCCCTGCATGTGTCCCATATCAATAGGTCTTCGCGTCCTATTATTCATAGATCATCATGTTTTGTCCGAGCTACTGGGATATTAACATCATACTGTCCGAGCTACCATGTTATTCAAACTAATGTGACACTAACATCGTGATATTCGAGCTACCATATTGTTCGAGTTACTTGGATAATGACACAATGTTGTTCGAGCTACCATATAATTCAATCTACTGGGATATAACACCATGTTGTCCGAATTACCATACTGTTCTATCTACTGGGATACTGACACCATATGTTGTCCGAGCTATCATACCCAAGAGAATATCTCCGAGCTAATCACGTCCAATTCACCCGATCTACTCATACGATCAGTTCATTTGATCTAAATTAGACTGATCCACCCAAGCTATTATATATGGAGCCCTTTTTTTTTTTTTTATGTGCATCCGCATAAGCCTAGTCGGTTTGACTATACAATTTCTATCCGTCGACCATTTTTTTTAAGACTATCCTTATCCCCAACTCAACCCAATTCAACCTAACAATTAAAATTATTTATCTCTCCTCTACCTACACAACTCAATCTTCCAACCCAATTTTATCTTTATTTCCAACTCAACTCAACCTAAATATTTATTTTATTTTAATTTATTGAAAAATTGCAATTGTGTTCTAAAATATATCAAGTGTGGTCTCTATTTGTAGAGAATGAAAAAATACGAATTTTAATATTTTTTTTAAAAAAATAAAAATACACTTGTCTAATAAAAATGGAACAAGTGTCCCATTTTTTAAAAAAAAAAAGTCACAATGTGACCTAGGTCGAGCATTGCTGTGACCTTTTCCAATTTTTTTTT